TCAAGGCCAACACTCTACTGCTTGAAATACACCTCTACTTCCTTCTGCTTTTTTGGTAGTGTTTCCCCCCCTCCTCCTGCCCCCAGTTGTGGGGCCTGAACTCTGGACCAGGGCGCTATCCCTCAGCTCTTCAGCTCAAGGCTAACACTCTACTACTTGAGCCACAGCGCCCCTTCTGGCTTTTTCTGCTTATGTGATGCTGAGGAATAGAACCCAGGGCCTCTTTCATGCAATGCAAGCACGCTACTACTGAGCCACCTTCCCAGCCCCTGGTGGTTAATTGGTAATGAGTCTCACAACTTTTCCTGCCCAGGCTGGCTTCAAACCATGATCCTCTGATCTCAGACTCCTGAGTAGGATTCAGACAGGTGCCAGCCGAGCCACCAGTAACCAGCTTGTTTTGGTCTTTATCTGTCTTAGAATCTTTGCCTTATATTCTCACTTGGTTTTTTTTCTCTGCTGTATGAGCCATTTCCAGCCTTTTGTTAGTTAATTGGAGATAAGAGTCACAGACTTTTCTGCCCACGCAGGCTTTGATTTTCAGATCTCAGCCTCCTGATAGGTATAATTAGAGATGTGAGCCCTCCATGCCCAGTCTCCTCGTCACTTCTCACTTTGTTGAGGTAGGATAGCGATGAAGGGAGCAGCCATTCTCAGAATGATACGGGGAGAGTACCCTGGTAGGCTTGGGGCCTAGTGCAGTGAAGAGAGTTCTTGGTGGTGATGAGCTTCCCTTTTCTGCCCTCCTCTTCTAGCATGACACAATGATGATAATGATGATACCTGTGCTCAGTGCATTTCTCATGACAGTCCTTTGAGCTCACATCACTGAAGAAGGCTCGGGGTATGACTTGCCCTATTTACACAATAGGTACAGTGATGGGGCTTGCCTGGCCTCCCTTTCCAGAGCTTGCACTACCTCTCCCAGGCTCAAGGCCCAGTGTTTTCTCTCTTCCTCACAGCCTTCTGGGAAGTAATGTGGAAGAATAGCTAGGTCAATGCCTGGCTGGTGGTCAGAGATGAATGAACTTCGAAAAACTCGAGGGTGGGCTGGGAAGGTGGCTCAGTGGTAGAGCGCTTGCCTTGCATGCATGAGGCCCTGGGTTCGATTCCTCAGCACCACATAAGCAGAAAAACAAAAGCCGGAAGTGGTGCTGTGGCTCAAGTGGTAGAGTGCTAGCCTTGAGCTGAAGAGCTGAGGGACAGTGCCCAGGCCCAGAGTTCAGGCCCCACGACCGGACCCCCCCCAAAAAAAAAGAAAAACTCAAGGGTCTCTAGAGGTGAGCCTGGGAAGCTGACTCCTCCTAGTCTGCTTTGGCATGCCGGCCAGGGCCTGAAGTCATTCCCTATAGCTTTCCCCCTCCTTCCTACCCTGCCAGACATCGTCTTCCCCTTGCTTCCTTTCCTTCATTTTGGTCTCTCCTTCCTGATACTTCCTCTGGAGAATAAAAAATTAAAAAAGAAAAAAGATGGAGGAAAGCTCATGAGACTCTTATTTTTGTTGGTCAGGGGGCTTGAACTCAGGGACTGGGTGCTGTCTCTGAGCTCTTTTTGTCAAGGTTAGCTGTATACCACTTTGAGCCACAGCATCACTTCTGGTTTTCTGGTAGTTAATTGGAGATAAGATTCTCATGAGCCACGCACCGGTGGCTCATACCTGTAATCCTAGCTACTCAGGAGGCTCAGATCTGAGGATCGCGGTTCAAAGCCAGCCTGGGCAGGAACATCAGTGAGACTCTTATCTCCAATAAACCACTAGCAAACCAGAAGTGGCACTGTGGCTCAAGTGGTAGAGTGCTCACCTTGAGCTGAAGAGCACAGGGACAGTGCCCAGGCCCAGAGTTCAAGCCCCATGACCGACAAAAACAAAACAAAAAAAGATTCTCATGGACTTTTCACCTAGGTTGGCTTTGAACTGTGATCCTTGGCTCTTAGCCTCCTGAATAGCTAGGATTATAGGTGTGAGCCACCAGCATGCAGCCCAAGAGACTGTTATCTCCAATTAACCACCAAAGAGCTAGAAGTAGAGCTGTGGATGAAATGGTAGAGTGCTAGCCTTGAGCAAAAAATACTCAAGGCTAGCACCCAGGGATGTCCTCCTGACCCCCAATAAAAAAGAAAAAAATAGTAGTTAAAGAAGACAGTCACATGGGTTGGGAAGGTAGCTCAGTGATAGAAGGCTTGCCTTGCATGCTTGAGGTCCTGGGTTCGATTCCTCAGCACCACATAAGCAGAAAAAGCCGGAAGTGGCTCAAGTGATAAAGTGCTAACCTTGAGTTGAAGAGCTGAGGCCCAGAGTTCAGGCCCCACAACCGACCAAAAAAAAAAAAAAAGTCAGTCACAGCTAGGTGCCAGTGGCTCACGCCTATAATCCTAGCTACTCAGGAGGCTGAGATCTGAGGAACCCGGTTCAAAGCCAGCCTGGGCAGGAAAGTCCATGAGACTATGTTATCTCAAATTAACTACCAGAAAACTGGAAGTGGCGCTGTGGCTCAAGTGGTAGAGCACTAGCCTTGAGCTGAAGAGCCAAGGGACAGCGCTCAGGCACAGAGTTCAAGGCTAACAGCCACTTCTAGACACATCAGCACCTCAGGTTAGAAACTGCTCCAGGTTGGGCTGGGAAGTTGGCTCAGTGGTAGAGTGCTTGCCTTGCATGCATGAAGCCCTGGGTTCGATTCCTCAGCACCATATAAGCAGGAAAAAAAAAGCTGGAAGTGGCACTGTGGCTCAAGTGGTAGAGTGCTAGCCTTGAGCTGAAGAGCTGAGGGACAGCGCCCAGGCCCAGAGTTCAGGCCTCACGACCGGACCCCCCCCCAAAAAAAAAACAAAACAAAAAAATTGCTCCAGGAAGAGCTGGCTAGATAGAGGAGGATTTCTAAACTCTACCATGACCCTCTAGACTCAGGACAGGGGGAAGGAGAGTCAGGGAGCCTCATAAATCAGGGGGGGATCTGGGACAGAAACAGGGAGCAGGGGGACAGAAGCTAGGGGACCTGAAATGAGGAAAGGGAACAGAGAAAATTGTCCAGGAGGGCTGGGAAGGTGGCTCAGTGGTAGAGCTCTTGCCTTGCAGGCATGAGGTCCTAGGTTCGATTCCTCAGTACCACATAAGCAGAAAAAGCCGGAAGTGGCGCTGTGGCTCAAGTGGTAGAGCATTGGCCTTGAGCTGAAGAGCTGAGGGACAGTTGCCAGGCCCAGAATTCAGGCCCCAAGACAGACAAAATAAATTGTCCAGGACTAGCCTGCAAAGCAAGCTCAGGAGTCTGGTCAGTGTCCTTTACAGCAACACTTCCTCCTCCTTTAGCCAGTATTGCCAGCATTATTGTCTTCTTCCTCTTTCTTCTCCTCCTCCATCTTCTTCCTCTTCCTGCTGTACCTCCTCCTCCTCTTTTTCTATTTTGCCAGTCCTGGCACTTGAACTCAGGGCCTGGGCACTGTCCCTGAGCTTCTTTTGCTCAAGGCTATCACTCTATCACTTGAGCCACAGCACCACTTCCAGCTTTTTGTTTATGTGGTACTGAAGAATCAAACCCAGGGATTCATGCATGCTAGACAAGCTCTCTACCACTAAGCCACATTCCCAGCCCCATAGCAAACTTTTTAATTCTTTGCCTACTTCCCAGTCTGGGGGGCTGGGGATATTCCAGTAGCCATAAATCAGAGGTCAGGGAGCTTACGATGCCCTAGTCCTGAAGGAGCACATGAGGAAGATTTACAAGATTTACATGTTTGATTAACTCTGTCTGACCCATAGAGGGTACAGATTCCTGTCCACAGAGGTGGGTAGGCCTTCCATCTAGGTATAGGTCAGTGTGTATGGGTGGTGGTGGTGGTGGTATCTGTGCATTTGAGTGTGGTAATAAATGTGCAGCTGTTATATGCAAGTATAAAAAAACAGACCAGAAGAGAAAAGAGAATTTTGAATAGGAGGGTAACACGGCTTTGCCTGTCCTTTTGGTGAAATGTACCCCCCTCTTCCAGTAAAGTGGACCAGACAGTGAGTCTATTCCTTCATTACTCCAATGATTCCTGAAGGTCTGATGCAGATATCAGGGCAAGATCAAAGGGGTAGAGATGACCTTCCTGCCTTGAACCGGAAGAACTTGTCCCCTCCGATGCCCTGCTTCCACTGCTGCCTTCTTAGTCTCTGAGGCCTTGTGGGGATAGACAGCCCCATGGCCTGTCAGGGATCCAGGAGTCCAGCTTCAGCAGTCAGTAACAGCCCTGGAGGTGAGGCTCCTTCCCCCAATCTAGGCATGAAAAGGCAGTTTTTCCTAGTTGTCAGCACATATGCTTAGCAAGAAGGGTTGTGAAGGTCTGTCTTGACCCACCTACCCCATGTCTTGAGAAGCTCTGTCTAGAGTAAGAGGCCTGGGTCTTGTGCGGCTTCCCAGCAGGCCCCTTCTCTGCCTGAGGAAATGGGCATTGGAAGGAGGGGGTGGGTCCTGCAAGTCCCCTCTCAGCTGCTTCCCCAGATGAATTATTTGGCTTGTCTGCATCCTCTCCCTCCTTTCTGCTCCACAAGGACTAGGCAGGGAGGGAGAATTAAAGGTGTGAGCGGCAGGCTGAGGTTCAGTGTGACTCTCACCCTTTCTCCATTGGCACTACAAGCTCAGGGAAAGCTGGCTTGCACTTCTCAGCTGTCTACCCACCCACATATTTTTTCCTAGACTGGAGCCTCCTCTTCTTGTTCTCATTCTTTTTCCTCACTAGCTCTTACTTGTATTCCTCCTGCCCACCTTTTCCTCTTGCCAATCTCTACACATGGACAGTCAATTCCATGGACAGTTTGAGACCACCAAGGAACCCAGAGAATTGCTCTCCAAATGGAATGACCCAAATCCAAAGAGAAGGAATGAGCAGGGAGATGGCTGAGGCCTTAGTTCTGTCCAGAAACCTGAATGCTGAAATAGAAGCAGGGCTCCAGCATTACAAAATAAAGTGTTTGTTTATTATGAAATTAGAGATGGAGGCCCCTCCCCTTCCTCCCTCTTTCCCCTTTCCCCAGCTGCCTCCCTTTTTCCCTCCCCCTTTTCCCTCTGGGGTCTGGGAAGCACACTAGACAATGCCTGGAGCTGGAATGCCCAGGGCAGGCTGACAGCTGGGCAGAGCTCCAGGGAGGCGGCCACGTGGGGGCTGGAGCTCTAGCCCTGGGAGGTGGGCTGGCTCCTTCCTTCTGCTGGGGGCCAGTGGAGCCAGGATGAGGCCATGAGTGATGGATGGAACCATGCGGGCAGGTCTGTAAGGACAGGAGAGCTGTGAGAGATGGGAGTGGGGGAGGAGCTTCCTTCCACCCCTTCCTAAGCCAGCAGCCTAGGGTCACTGACCTGGGGCAGAGCGTCCCCTGCAGGAGGGTGGGCAGCAGTGGCTGGAAGTTTCTCTTGCGTTGGGGATGGAGTGGACAACAGAATAAAACTAAAAAGCAGTCACAGGGACCCAAAGAGGGGAGACGGAGGCGGGAAACAGACATGGAGCATGTGTGTGGGCAGGGGAGACAGAGTGTGAGAAGTTTAGAATCATAGAGACAAAAACAGTCACAGAGAGTCACAGTGACAGAACAGAGAGGTTCAAGGTCAGAGTCCCAAAACCCAGACCTGGACAGAAGGGAGAGTGTCACAGACAGACAGAAATCCCTGGAGAGACACACAGACCGACTTAGGAGTGGGGATAAGAGCAAGGGTGCCCAGGGGAAGGAAGGACACAGGGGCCAGGAGGAGGCCTTGGGCCCCTAGGTTGCCACCGATTTCCTGGACCCTGTGGGGCTTACTCAGAAGGCCTGGGCCAGCTGCCCCACTGCAGAGGGCAGGGCCAGGGCCAGCACTCAGGGGGCCGGGGGCTCTTTGGCCCCATAGAGCTCAGCCAGGGTGCGGAAGAGTGGGCCCCAGTCATCCAGCGGCTCCACAGGTCCTGGGGCCCCACCAGCCTCACTGCCAGAGCCCAGGGAGCTGAGCGAGCCGCAGGAGGAGCCTCGGCCCTCATAGCCGTACACCTGCACAGAGTCGTAGGGGGGCACACTGGGGTCCTCATCTGCCTCATGCAGCCGTAGAGCCAGGAGCTGGGCTACATCGGCAGGGCCGGGTGGCCTGGGCTGGCGTGGTGCCCGGGCCCTGGGCAGCACATCACGGCGCACTGGTGGGCCAGGAGGTGGTGGGGCAGCCCCATCTGGGTTCTGCAGGGCTGTAATATCAAAGGCTTCAGTGTCCTCTTCGCCGCCGCCCTCATCATCATAAGTGATGATGTTCTCTCGTACATCCTCTTCCTCCAGTACCATCAGTGCCTCCTGCTTCTGCCGCCGCAGGGCCACAAACAGCACCACCAGGGCTGCAAGGCAAAGCACAGAGGCTGCTGAGCCGGCAGGGCAAGAATGGGGGGCTGAATGGCACAGGTATAAGGGGAAAGTCCAAGGATTGACATCTGGGGATACTGACTTGCTCTGAGACCACTGGGAATTTGCTTAAATTTCTCTGCTGGGCGCGAGTGTGTGCGTGCGTGTGTGTGTGTGTGTGTGTGCATGTCCTGGGATTTGAGCCCAGGGCCTAGGCACTGTCTTGAGCTTTTATGCTTAAGGCTAGCACTCTACCTCTTTGTGCCACAGCTCCATTACTGGCTCTGTGGTGGTTGGAGACCACCAATCCTCAGATCTCAGCCTCCTGAGTAGCTAAGTGTGAGCCACTAGAACCTGGCTCTTTGATCTTCTTTGAAGCTTAGTTAACCTATATGTAAAACATATATCTCTTTGGGTTGTTGAAAAGACAAAATACCACAAGTGATATGCCTAACACCATATCAGGCACAGAACAAGAATTAAATAGTTTTTATGGTTGTTACTGCCACAGATTACAAATCAGGGATATGAGGCCAAGGCATCAGGTGGTGGGAAAATCCAGGCATGCATGGCCACTTAAGCCCTAGATCCATTTCCCTCCCTCAGCAGGCCCATGTCCCACTGTGGCCTGGCTCACCAAGCAGGGTGCCCACACAGGTGACAATGGCAAGCAGGGCACCAGTACTGAGACCGGTGGGTGAGAGCTGGGCTTCAGGCCGGCAGGATGCTACAGATCCATCAGGCCGGCAGCGGCACACGCTGACAGTCACTGTGGCAGTGCTGCTGAGGGCTGGATGCCCCCAGTCCCACAGTTCTATGGGTACAAGGTAGGGGGCCGGGCGAGGTGGAGCAGGGCGGGGGGGCAGCAGCAGGCTGGCAGAGCCATCTGTAGGAAGGAGAAGTTGTTGGATTACATCTTAGGACATCTTCCTGGAAAGATTGGTCCAGCACATAGAGCCAGCTTCCCATGGGAAGACTGGAAAGTAAACCCATATCCTTCTGTTAGGACATGGGCTAGGCAGGCTGGGGTAGGGGTGGTGGAAAGGAGAAGGAAGACAGGCATGATATGGTTTTGGGAGGCTACCTACCTCGGTTGTCCCGGACTGTGAAGTTAGTGTCAGGACCCACAGGACCTTGAAGGGAGACTCGGCTACTGTTGCCAGCTTCATCTCTGTCCAGAGCCCGGATGACCTGAATCAACTGGGAGGAAGAAGCAATGCCTTGAATGTAGACTGCTAGAGGCCTTGGGAGCCTAGCCAGCTATTTCAGTTGCTCACCTGTCCAGGAGCTGCAGAATCACACACAAAGGTGTCATAAGGCTCAGCTAGCTGGGGCGCGTTGTCATTCTCATCCAGGGTCTGGATGGCCACTTGCACACGGGAGGCCTGTGCGGAGCTGTCTAAAGCCAGAACACCCACACATACACCACACACACACACACACACACACACACACACACACAACATAACACATTTTACCAGTCCCATAAAGTGCACATGCAACACATTGTAATGTGCAAGCAGCAAACCATGTGGTTATGTGAATGGAACAATGCCAAGTGGATGTGATAATCATGTAGTGCCCAAGATAAGCATAATATACAATATATGGGAATGCAGTACCCATGACACACCATGTACAATAACATACGCAAGGCACGTGCAGCATGGGCATAAATGGTCAACAAGAGGATATATACAGGTATGTACAGACATCAACCATAAAATAGTCATATCATATAGCAAACATAAGAATGTTTAAAACAAGTGCAATGTACAGGTGTTTGATATGCTCCCCCCATGCAGGCAGAGCCCAGAAAATGCATTTTTATGCAAAGCCACGTATAGTAATTGTCAGATGGACAGACAGACAAAAACACACAGACATACATCATTAGAGATGAGGTCTAGAAAGCTGTAGTACAGAAATTTGTATTACTTAGAGTTGACCCTGGAGAGGGAAAAGCCACATGGTCTATGGGATACAGAGCCGAGGTCCCCTCTTTACCCCTTCTTCACCAGTATCCCACCTTGCTTCTCACTGTCCATACCATTCAAAAGAGGCACAGAGTGTGTATGCCCATCTCCTAGGCTGAGCCTCCCAATTCCTTAGGCAGGGGAGAGCTGGCTACCCTGGATGAAGGGGCTGAGGTCACAACCTGGGTGGGGAAGCTGTAGATTGCCTCACTGTAGGAGCTGGGCTAACTTGGAGACACTCCTTCACTGCAATAAAGGAAGAGTCCAGTTCTCTAAGCCAATGGTGGGAGGAGCAGGATTTGACAGGAAGTGAGAAGATAATTGGGACGGACACACACACACACACACACACACACACACACACACACACACACACACACACACACACACACCCCTACATAGGTACAAGCAACCAACCACAAAATCCTATGTATGTACATACATGCACACACACACACACACACACACACACACACACACAGAAATCTTCATGACTACAGACACACAGCACTGTCAAGTAGCACACACAGTTGCATAGTCAGAAACAAGCCAGGAACTGGTGACTTATGCCTGCAATTCTAGCTAAGAGGCTGAGATATGAGGATCACGGTTCAAAGCCAGCCCGGGGAAGGAAAGTCCATGAGACTCTTATCTCCAACTAACAACCAGAAAACTGGAAGTGGCGCCGTGGCTCAAGTGGTAGAGCACTAGCCTTGAGCTGAAGAGCTGAGGGACAGAGCCCAGGCCCAGAGTTCAAACCCCACAACTGACCAAAAAAAAAAAAAAAGAACCAAACTCACACACACAGGATGGTGGAGGGCTAAAGCTCCGACTTCAGACTCATGAGATGGAATGCCTCTACCACTTATTTTGCTGTGTGACCTTGGGCAGTTAACTTCGCTTTGTCTGAGGTTCTTCATTTAAAAATGGGAGACTGGGAATGTGGCTCAGTGGTAGAGTGCTTGCCTAGCATGAATGAAGGTTCGATTCCCCAGTACATATAAACAGAAAAAAGCCTGAAGTGGCATTGTGGCTCAAGTGGTAGCGTGCTAGCCTTAAGCCAAAGAAGCTCAGAAACAGTGCTCAGGCCTTGAGTTCAAGTCCCATGACAAGCAGAAAAAGCAAGCAAGCAAGCAAGCTGAAGTGATGACTAAAGGAGTTAATCCATTTTTGGTACCTAAAATAGTGCCTGGCTCACAATAAGTAATAAATTACTATTATCTGCCATGAATACCCACATATATAAAGCATACATATATATATATATATATATACACCCATCCAATCCCACATATGCATAAATTAGAAATTTGATACACTCAATTGTAAACACATACCCAGTTATACACATCCACTCACATTACTTTTCATACATACAGAATTACACATATTCTGGACTACATATCTGCACGCACACATACACAGTTCTTCCTGCCATGTATAAACATGTACATGCAAGCCATTCTGATACACAGGTGAAGACAGCACAGACATGAATAGGAGGAAAGAAGGGAGGGAGGTTTCTCCATTTCCTCAGGCCAGGGGAGGTGAACGAGCTGCTGGTAATTTAGGAAGCACAAGAAGAGCTCCTACATGGAGCGAGCTGGGGGTCTCAGCAGGGCTTCTCTGAGAGGGGCTGCTGGCACAGCCAGCTCAGTTCCCCTGCACAGCCCTTTTCTGGGCCCCAGTTCTAACCTGAAGCAAAGAATGGAAGGGCAGGGCCTGCCAGCACACAGGTTGGGAGCTATGAGCTTCTCATTTCGTTTTGGGCTGGGACAAGTCAGGTGAGAGGGCAGATCCAGGGTGAGGAAAATGTGCAGGCAGACTTACTGTGCCCTGCCTGGACCACCCTATGAGACAGGCCACCTGCTTGACACATGGGGTGTGAGGGTGTGATGGCAGTCATGGCCCTCCTCCACCACACTCAGGGACAGTTGGCCCTCTGCCAGAAGAATGCTGCCTTCCCAGGGGGTGGGGATCCTCACCCAGCTCTGTGGCCAGCACGGTGAGATTGTGCCACACATGAGCCTCACGGTCAAGGGACACTGCTGTTCGGATGGTGCCATCTTCGGGCTCGATGGAGAAGCAACGCTCTGGATCTGAGTGAGGGAGGATGGAGTATCTGGGGAAGATAGGGCCTGTGCTAGTACCTGATCTGGGAACGGCCATCCCTCCCTTCCTCTGGGCCTCCTGGCTCATGTGGGCAGAGGCCCCAGGGCCCCAGCTTCTTGAGCAGAGACTTCCCCATCCAGAGCCATATTCAGGCTGCAGTCCCCTCAAAGTGAACATATATCGGGGAGGACCTAGGATAGGGAGACCAAACTTCATGAGCGTGAGGGAAGATAAGAGAAAAATAGAAGAGATAAATACTATCCATCTTTCAGACTTCTGGTTTCTGTTCTGGGCACCTATGGACCTGTGTTTCAGCCCTGTTCTGCCTTGGCCCAACTATGATGACCTTGGGGAAATCATTTGACCTCTGTTCTCAGGGCAGATAGGTCTAGATTCAAATCCCAGCTTTGCTATGTATTATGGGTAAATTACTTAACCACACACATTTTGCTACTAAAACAGCTGGAAATGCTGACATCTACTTCACAGGGCCGTTGTAAGAATAAAATGTGGAGTGGAAAAATGTGAAGCACTCAGTGATCAGTAGAGATCGACTTACCAAAGGAGGTATTTGCTGGCACTGCCACTAGATGGTGCCTCTCTAATGTACCCAGAGAATGGGTAGAGTTAGGTAACATTAGCCAGGCCCTCCAGGCCTCCCTAGGCACCCATGCCTGCAAACCAGTAAGCAGGTGCAGGAAGGGAGACCTTTGCTGGGAGGCAGAATCGTAGCCAGATTAAGGAAGCACGTCCTGGAAGCGTCTGTGCTCCTTTTGAGTCCCTGCCCTATCCAGCACATACCCCAGCTTACCTGATTGGGCTAGCAGGGGAGTCCAGGTCAATGGCTGAGATCTGGCCCACTAGGGTCCCAGGAGCTTTGTTCTCTGGCACCACCAGGTGGTAGGTGGCCTGAGTGAAGGCAGGTGGCTCTGGGGCATCCTGAACAGTCACACGCACAGAGGCTACATCCTTGAAGGGGCCTCGCCGAAGGTAGGCTGGGTCAATGAGTGTGTTGGTGGCTTCTACACGGAAGGAGTAGGAACGACGCGTCTCAAAGTCTAGGGGCTGTGGTGAGGGGAGACAAAGCAAGTGAGACATATGGAAGCCAGAGCAGGCCCAGCTCACAGTGGAAAGTCTCCTCCCCATGTGTGTCCAGTGCAGAGTGAAGGCAGGTAAGCAGCCCATTGCAGAGCTGGTAACTTTAGAGCCACCCCCAGCTCTATTATAGACTCATTAAATGACCTTGAATCAGTCCCATTCCTTTTCCAGGCCTCAGGGTCTGGGTTAAGATAACCACAACCTCTAAACTCCAACATTGGAGTCCTGAGCGTTTTAGGAGATCACTTAGAAATGTGCCCCTTGGGAGGAGCAGGAGATGGGTACAAATGAGTCTGCAGGCATTTGTCCCCCATCCCCATCTTGTTGCAGGGGGATCAGATCCATGGCCTCCCACAGGCTAGGCAAGCCAGGTCTGCAGGTGTCCCCAGGTAGGAGCTAACCTTCCGGACAGTGAGGAGCCCATCTTGACCCTGGGAGTCTGTGCTGATGCTGAAGGCCTCTGACCCTTCCCCATCCAGGATGCTGTATGCCATGAGGGCATTGTCCCCCAGGTCTGGGTCCTGGGCCTGGAGCCGACCCACCAGGGTGCCAGGCCCAGCTGTCTCCACCACAGAGAACTGGTACAAGCCTTAGGAGAGGATTTAGGGAAAACATGTTCTTAGAGAGGTCTCGGGATCTTCTCCCTACCCCCAACACTCCCTTCTCCTGGAATCTGGCTAGGGTTAGGGCTGGGGGGGAGATGGATTCTCCAAGGCCAAGGGTCAAAGAAAAGCACCGCCTCCTTACTCTGAGGGAACTTTGGGGGGTTGTCGTTGACATCGCTGAGGGTGACTGTCACTGTAGTGCTGCCCGACAGCCCCCCCATGTGGCCGCCCATGTCCTTGGCCTGGATCACCACCAAGAACTCCTCCTGGGTCTCCCGGTCCATGTTGGGGATAGCTGTTCTTACCACTCCTGGGGAGAGACACTGGGTCAGGGAGTATGCACCCCTGAGGCTGTCCCCTTAGGCTCTTTAGCTCTATCCTCACCAGTCTGGGGGTCCACAGAGAAGAAAGGCAGTCCATCCAGCACAGTGTACACCAGCTTTGCGCTGTTCCCATAGCTGGGGTCATCAGCATCATGAGCAGTCACCTGAATCACAGATGTCCCTGTGGGGGATCCCAGCACTCCCATTAAGCAGCAATAGGGACAGATGCAGAAGAACAGGTGGTGAAGGGGGCTCTGATGTGAGGGAGGCTGAATTAAAAAGGAGGCGGCTTCTGGGGGCAGACAGCAAAAGGGGAAGGAGGAGAAGGGGCCAGAAGAAAGCAAGCAGGGTGCTTACCGACGTTAGACATCTCGGGCACTGTGGCATGGTAAGGCCCAAGGGGGAACACAGGTGGATTGTCGTTGATGTCTTGCACTTTGATGATAAACTCTGATGGGGGCTCCAGAGGCCGGTTGGAAGCTCGGTCCACAGCTTGAGCCAGGAGCACATATTGTGCCTTCTCCTCACGGTCTAGGCTCTTGGTCACATGGATATTGCCTGTGGCCTCGTCAATCACAAATACAGTGCCTGCCCCCTCCCCGGTCAGCAGGTACTTGGTGCGGCCCTCACCCCGGTCAACATCTGAGTGCAGCTGTAGGAGTCAGGGAAAAATGGTAGAGGGCTCCAAGTGCAGGGGATAAAGGGTTAGAGAGTCTAGGTTTAGGGGTGGAGCATTAGGAGTCCCAAGGCCCAAGGTCATTGCAGAAGTAATGAAGTTGCAGGACAGGGCTGGGCCTGACCAGAGTTGTTAAGAGTAGACATGGGAGGGGCTGATCCTTACCTTGCCAATAAGGACGGGCTCTGGACCAGCATATTCCTCAATGACAAAGAACTGGTTCCAGACCCAGCTCCTTCGGGTCCGCAGCAGCGTAGGGCCTGGGCGCCCCCGGAACCCTGCCCAGGCCTGGACTGGGGCTGCCAGACGCCCCATGAAGCCCCAGCCACCCAGCCAAGCCAGCAGGAGCCTCATGAGGCCCCACATCTTTGGATTCCAGCCAGGGCTCTTTCACTGGCCCTAGGTGCTGAGGCTGGGCTGGATCTGGTGGCCCATGAGCTGGCTGGGGTAGAGAGGCAGGTATGGTGGGGCTACCCCATGGATCTGCACCTGTGGGACAGGTTGCTGCTCAGGGTCAAGGAAATCCTAAACCCTACCAAAGACCTACCACCCCACTGCCCAGAACCTGGACTAAGGCAGTGTAGACAGTTTAGTCCATCTCTCCACCCAGACTCTGCCTATATTCACCTCCAGCCCTCTAAGCTGATAAATCCCAGGGCAGTCAACTCTTGAGTACAGAAGCTGAGATGGAGAACAGGAGAGGCGATGATGCTAGGAGGGCCGGGAATCCCAAATCTCTCCCGTCCTCCCACCTTGGGCTGGTCGCCAGGGAACTGAAGGAGGGGCTAACAGAGCAAGGGCTCAAGCTCAAGAGGTTGGGATTCATAAAGGTCTGGCCTTAGGTGTCTAGGTCAGGCTAAGATAAGAGAAAGCACAGCCTAAGATAGGTTGAGAGCGGATGCAAGTCCCTCTCCTATGGGGAATTCCACTTCTCTCTAGCCCACACTGCCAGCTGCAGTCCTTAAGGGGCATGAGTTGGGGCTAGAGCTAAAAGAAGGGACAGGGTTGCCTGCAGGAAAAAGAGACTTGTGAGGGGGTGAAATGGAGGCTGACCCAGAGGCCAGAGACAGCACTAGCTCTGGGGCTGGGCCAAAAACCAGGGATTATCCAGTGTAGACAGAGTAGACTGGATGAAACAGAACAGCAAAAGACAGAACAGGCAGCAACAGTGAAGGGAAAGAAATCAGGGAGGCAGTCTGGGTATGTGGAAGGCAGAGAGGAGTCCTATAGGTACAAATGGGGGTCAGAGGGGCTTGGGGGGGGGCAGATAGGGCCTTGGGAACTTCATTCCGGGCAGAGAGCAGCCAGGAGCAGGCAAAGTAGGGGGGGCCCTGAAGGGGTGGATGTGGGGGGGGGGGGGGGGGGAGAGAGATGGAGAGGCCCCTCCTCTGCTCTCTTCCCGGGGAGACCCTTCAGGTAGCTGTCGCTTGTGCCCCTCCTCCCCCAGAGCGGATCCACACCTGACAGTCCCTTTGCTCCCTCCCAGGGAAGACAGGCCAGGGGGAGGCTGGGGAAAAGAGAGGGAGGCGGGACGAGGAGGGGAGACAGAAGGAAGGGAACAGAGGAGTGGGCAAGAGGATAGCGGGAAGGGAAAGGAAAGGAAGGCGATGGGGAAAGGAAAGGAGTGTGGGGAAGGAAGGGAGAGCGGGAAAGGGAAAAGAGAGAAAAGGGGGGAAAGGTAGAGGAAGGAAAAGGCAAAGAGACAGAAGAGATAGGAAGAGACAGGACAAGATTGAGAAGGAAGGGCTGGGAACAGGCAAGGGGCAGAGAAGGCAAACAGGCAGAGAGCAGGGAGAATCGAGGAACCCGAGAGAGGTGTGCGAGAAGGGAAAGAGGCAGAGCGCGGGAGAACGGGGCTGCCGGCGGCGGCTCGCAGCCACGGAGCGCACCGCTCCGAAGACGCCCGCACACTGCGGGCCCCCTGACGCCCCTGCAAGGATCCCCGACCCTCGGCTCCCGGGCAGGCGCTCTTACCTGGCACGGCCGAGGGGCCCAGGACGGCCGAGAGCACCCCCGCCCGCTCCCGCCGCCAGCTCCCCGGGCGCAGCCCTGAGCGGATGGAGCGGGCGCCGCGGCTCCGCTGCAGGTCTGAGCGGCCCCGGCGAGAACAAGGGAGCGAGACGGAGGGGGCGGGGGAAGAGGCTCCGCCTGCGGAGGAGCGAGCGGCCCCGCGCCGCGCCGCGCGGGAGAGGAGAGACCAGCCTCCGACCCTCCCCGGCCAGCCGGGGCCGCGCGGCGGGGTCGGGGGCGGCGCCTGGCGCCCGCCCCCTCGGCGTTCCGGGGCCGCTGGGCGCATACAGATGCGGCGCCCTTCTGGCCAGGCCCGGCCCGCGGCGGGGCACTCGGGCCGAGGACGCCCAAGCCATTGGAAAGGACCCGGCCGAATGGACGCACCCCAGAGACGCAAGGCGGCCGCACCTCGCGGGCCCTGGGTGAAGGGCGACGCGCCGCGGGGTAGGGAATAGCCCACTGCGGAGACCAGGCTCCGAACCGGCTTTTGATACTGGTGTGGGCCAGGGCCAGGCGGCACTTTGGGACCCCGCGCACTGCACGGCAGCTGTTCGGCTGGGGGGCGCTTGGGGATGGAAGGAGGGTCCAGGGAGCCCGCGGGTCTGACCCAGGAACGAGTCAGGGACAGGGACGACGGCGGCTGGAGGGCGGAACCTTTTGGGGGAAGCTCATTTGCCTGGACCAAGAGCAAGGGGACACTGCCCTCTGGCGGCTGACTTGGGAAGCACCTCGAAGGTGGTGAGCAGGTGACCAAAAAGCCCAAGCATGCGTGGGTCCCAAGCAGACCTTTCTTGTCTGCTGGGGAGGGGGGAGACACAGAAGTGGCACGCGCCATTTCTCCCCCAGCCCCCAGGGTGAAGAACAGCTTTGGACTGAGTAGAGCCAGGGCTGGTCCACAGCGGTGCATGAAATGCCAAGGCTTCCCATCTCAACCCTCCCCAAGGAAAGCCACTCAAATACTAGTTAAAACTAAGTCAGATTTTATTTTATTTTTCCATAGACCACATCATTTAATAATAAAAAAAATAAAAATAAAAATTGAACAAAAGGAAAAGGTAGATATAAAGTGGAACCAGTGGGCAAGAGGCAAAAGCTGCAGGGTAGAGACTGGGAACTGCAGGGGCCCCGGGACTCAGGAGGAGACTGATTCAGCTCATAGGTGACCCAGTCCTGGCCCCAGCTGTTCCCAAGAGACTATGAGTACCCAAGGGAGGCATTGAGCATGATGGAGGGAAAAGGAGAGGTCTGGGACACGTGGCTGTTCTCCACTTCGGGCCAAACATCTCCCTCCATAACCTAGCTCTTCCCTCTCAGAATTAATGGGAAATGAGAAGCAGAAGGCTAAACCCGGAGTTAGGTTAAGGAGGATGTGTGTATGTTTGTACAGATGGCCACTGCTCCATCTGGTGTGTAGAAGCAAGTGGCAGTCATACTTCAGCACTGGGCAATGGTGTGAAAGTTTCAGACCCTTGGTTCCAGGGTGGTGGTGATTGTACCTATCCCTCTGTGGCCTTAACCCCCCTCCCCCCGGGGCAGAGTGGCTGGTACCTGCAGCTCTCTAGTGTTTTCCCAGCTAGCGGCGCCCGCCGCGGTCCCGAACAGGTGTGCTTCGACTCCGGCTTCTGCTGTGGCGCTTGGTTTCTCTGCGATCCCTCTCTCTCTCCCTGCCTCGTTCCCGGTCTCTTTCCCTATCCCGATCTCGGTCTCCCCGGTCACGCTCCCTGTCTCTTTCTCGCTCCCTGTCCCTTTCCCGGCTGTGCTCCCGCCGTTTCTCCCGTTCCAGTTGTCGGTTCCGTTCCCGCTCCGCTTCCTTCTCCCGCTCCTTTTGCTCTTCCTCCTCTTGTTCCTTCCGCCGCTTCTCCCGCTCCTTGGCCCGTTCAGCGCGCTCCGCTTCCTTCTGAACAATCTGTAGCCAGGAAGAGTAGAGAAGCAGCACTGCAGACCTGTTCATATTTTAGCCATTGGTCCCCCTTGCCTGGGCCTTGTACTCCTAGCTCAGCTCTACTGTTCAGCAGGAAGGAAGGGGGAAGAACCTGGAACTCTACTTGTTTTAAAGTGCTTGTTATCCAAGACAGGTATTGATACCATCTGTGCCCAGCCTCTGGTATTCCCCTAATTTCTATCACCCTATATGTAAACAAATCTGTTACTGCGGCTTGAATTCGGACTGGTGTTTTTTAATTGCTAATTGCTTGGGGCTCTACAGCTTGACTCATGCCTTCAGCCCTGCTCTTTGCTGATTATTTTGGAGATGGAATCTAGCAAACTTCTCTGCCTGGGCTGAATTGGAACCAAAATCAAGTCTCAGTCTCCTGAGTAGCTAAGATTACAGGTATAATCTTAGCTACTCAGAAGGTGTGATCTGGCACCTTGCTTTATCTCATTTCTCTTGAATGGTATAAGCCTAAAAATTTCCAAAGGCCAATCACCAAAGAAATTAAAGGTAAGCCGGACACCGGTGGCTCACACCTGTAATCCTAGCTACTCAGGAGGCTGAGATCTGAGGATCACGGTTCAAAGCCAGCCCAGGCAGGAAAGTCTGTGAGACTCTTATCTCCAATAAACGACCAGAAAACCAGAAGTGGCGCTGTGGCTCAAGTAGTAGAGTGTTCACCTTGAGCTGAAGAGCTGAGGGCCAGTGCTCAGGCCAGAGTTCAAGCCCCACAACCAAAAAACAAAACAACAAAAAAAACTAAAGGTAAAAAAGCAAAATCTCTAGGAAAAAAACACAGAAACCAAAGTTTATAAAACACGAATTTCTCAATTAATTAAAATCAAGTTCTAAGAAGCTTGGTGACTTGTGAAATGATAACCCCTTGGTACATCTTAGTATTAACAATAAAATTATATTAAAAAAAAACAAGGGGCTGGGAATATGGTTAGTGATAGAATGCTTACTTAGCATTCATAAAACCTTTGGTTCAATTCCTCAGTACTACATGAACAGAAAAAGCTGGTGGTGGCACTGTGGCTCAAGTGGCAGAACACCAACCTTGAGCAAAAGCAGCTCAGGGACAGTGCCCAGGCCTGAGTTCAAGCCCTAGGACTGGCAAAACAAGCAACAACAACAAAAAATACAAGCTGCTACTTAGCCAGGTGCTGGTGGGTCACTCTTTTTTTTTTGGGGGGGGGGGGCCCGGTCATGGGGCCTGAACTCTGGGCCTGGGCACTATCCCTCAGCTCTTCAGCTCATGGCTAGCACTCTACCACTTGAGCCACAGCGCCACTTCTGGCTTTTTTCTTTTTGTTTATGTGGTGCTGAGGAATCGAACCCAGGGCCTCATGCAT